TGTATCGGAACCTTTTCACAAGTGCGGTTTTTTCGTCGATCGTTCAGAGTCGCAGACTGTGAACAATACCTCAAAAGCGGTGGCACGATAGCGGAGGGGGGTAGGGCATGCCGCGATAAGGCTTTTGACAACACCCACCAGCCCTTGCACCAAATGACGCTGCCACAAACACGTGGCGCATCCCAGAAGGGTTGTCTACCTCTGTCATTCCCTTTCTCGTTTCAGCTTATCCTTTGCTTTGTAATAGAAATTGGAAACTATACATAGCAATCGGATTCCGAGCTAAATTAGAATTTTAACTTACCTTAATGGCATGAGCGACTGCATGATAGTGCATCAGAGATCCGTAATCGTAAGGCACTCGGCGTGGCGAGACCTTGAATTGGTTGCTTTCGGAGGAAAATCAGTCATGGGAGCAATTACGTAGGTACAGTAATCCTTTCACTTAATTTGTTCTCAAACTACTTAGAAATAATAACGAAAGCTAATATCTCGTTCCTCGCGTTTAATAAAAAAGGAAGTGTTTTGATCTAATTTGTTATTATTCATTCATTAATAAGTCAGGACGTGTTTAAATCCAACCATCTTTTCCCTTGGGCTCCTCGTGGTCGTTTGCCCAGGGCATCAAAGGCCAGTGTTTTCCTCGTTGGGTGATCGTCGAGCCCTCTCATCACATGTCCACACCAAAAAAATCGCTGCTTTCGTGCAGGCGGAGGGACAGACTAATCAAATCCAATAATGAAGACCAGGGGATATGGGGAACCAAGTCTTCGAACGAGTAGAGAAGCACATCCGAATCTATAGAATAACTGACCGCTACAAGAGCAGAGGGAGAAGAGAAGGAAAAATTCATTGTGAAATGATTTTCTAGCTTTCAACGGTTCATCTCCAAATCCAGAGGGGTCTGTGCCAAAATCCTCGCGATGAGGGAATATGACGTATCGAACTTTGGGGAATCCCCAGCCGTGGCCGTGTTGGCCGGTAGAGGGAGGGAGGTCCCATTTAGCTGAGAAATTTTTTTTATTTTTTTAATGTGTTTTTCACTTCCACATGAGCTCATCTACATCATTGGAAGCGCTCTGATTGAAAGGTCGCAATCAATCGTGGTTATTAGAGGGGGCATTTTTTTAACCCCAGAAATTGGTGGCGTTGCCAAAGTTCTATACAGCTAGCTACTAATTTCCATAGTTGAAAGGATATCCTCCCCACGACAGCAGAATTTTTGGGGAGAAAACTGGAAAGTCGTAGGAAGTTGTGAAAAGATAATAAAACTGTAGATAGGATAGGAAGGGGTCGCACCAAAGCAGGTTTTGAGGTGGGGTGGGGTGGGGGGTATTTTCACACTACTCTTCTCTACCGCTGTCCTCACACAGCGCTCCGTTCCGCCGGGGGAATTTTTCGTGGAGCACGACCCTCCCTCCCTCACCCCTTCGCCTTCCCCTACCATAAATTCTCCCTTTGGTCGACCCATCTTTCCCATCCTGTCTACCATCTACGACCGCATTCACCCAAGTTTACACACATTTCACCTGAAATATCCCATTCTCGTTCTAGTCACTTCCATAACACACTTTCCCCATCAATACAGACCGCTATTACCAGGACAGCTACGACCTCTCTTCTCAACAGCTCAAAACGATCCCCCTGCCACTTGTTGTGAATTTCTCGGTGGTGTGCTGTGTATGGTCAAGGGCCCAAAAACCAATTTCGGTTAATTCAGTGATCGAAATAGCAACATGCTTAAAGGCGTCGGTGGACTAACCTCACACCAACTCTCCTCTTTTTTTAGAAGTATGTCAATCAGAGGATTAAGATGGATAAGGGAAACAACCCGAGTCGGGTTCCAGGGTTTTAACGAGCTGAAGTGAATCGGTGAGGTGAAAATGTGATTCTTTTGTGAGAAAACCGCTCAAGATTCAATTTCTGCGATTTGATAGTGAGCTATTGGAGTAGATTTCTCTTTGAATGGATATCTTGAGTTTCGTGAAGCCAGATGCAATAGCATATATGTATTCAAGAATTTGGAGAGACCTTCCTAACTGTGAGTGATTCTCTGAATAATATTACTCCTTTTCTTCAAAGCAGTACATTTTTCCCAAGAGGTTCCTCTAGTGTTTTCCATTCATGTGAGCATTTCTAGCAGGCCGATAATTGCTCGATCCCTCGGGGGGGGGGGCAAATAGCATTTTGTGAACTTTTCACGATCGTGATGATGTGCCCTATTTCCTAGAACATCCACTTTTTCGCCTTCCTAGCCTTTCTCAGAAATGGTTTAAGGCGCAGTTCAGCAACGAGGGAGGGGGGGGAGAGGGTGCATTTTGCACCTTCAGCTACGAGAGAGGGGGGGGGGGGGGAAGAGGGGTGCATTTTGGTTTGTTGAGACTATTCGTCAACTTCTTGCAAATACAATGATGGGAAGTCACTAGAGTGCAGAATCCCTCCCCCCTCGCTTCTCCCCAAGCCCGATTGCCCACTGTGATCAAGGTGGAAACTTTTTACTCTGTGCTGCTGCAAACAAGAGAAAATCACATCCCCGTTCTAGTTTCTTCTGGTCATATTGAGTCCTCAGAAAGGCAATCTCTAAGATACCTACGATCCGAAACGCTGGAGCAGGCTCGAAAGGGCAATAAAGACGCGGTAGCTTCTTCCATGACATTTTTTCCAATTGATGGAGATATGACGATCCCTGGAAGGACAATGGTCATCCTTCAAATGAGTTGCAGGACAAAACTCTAGAAAAAGTAAAGAGGAATAGTGAACCTGTCGGGTCGTTGATGTGTATGCCAGAATCCGAGTGCATGTCCGGTTTCGTGCGCCACCACATATTCCTGAAATCTCATTGAATCCATGAGGAGCCATTTTTGGCAATGTTATTCGAAAAGGTGTTATAGGAGATTCGTAACGAAGCGGAACTAAAGAAATCTGAGGAATGATTTTATTGTTTGCGAGGAATTATCTTTTTTGATGGTTCGTGGTCTTTTACATTTCTCTGAGTAAACCTCGCGTGCATGGCACGTCCTCAAGGATCTGTTTAACACTGAATGTTTCAATCTGCTCTTCAATAAGCTTTATCAGTAAAAGGAATAAGTAAGCAAAACCCAACACAAGCTAAGGCGCAATGTGGTTCTGAAGGGACCACTATGAAATCTTGCACAAGCACCGGTATGGCTGTCTTTGACATTCGAGGATGATAAGCCGGTCAGTCACCCATCCCGACTGTGCTCCCTCCCCTCAAATGCACGAAGCGTGTCTCCGATGGCACGACCAAGTGCTTAGCGCAAAGGCTGAATCGCCCGTAAGAGTGGCTTTCAGCCCGAGTTACCTGGAGAGCGGCTTCAAGGGCGCCCCATGGAGCGCTGGGTCTAGGTGTCGCACACGGATGTGAAAATC